AGGTGATCCTTCTTCTTCAGCCTTCCAAGTAGCTGGAACCATGCCCAGCTAATTTTTTGATTTATTGTAAAGACAAGGTCTCGCCAAATTACCCAGGTTGGTCTCCAATACCTGGGCTCAGGCAATCTTATTGTCTTAGTGGCCCAAAGTGTTGGGATTAGAGGCGTGAGCCACCAAGTCCAGCCTATGTGTTCTGTGGGTTTAAGATAGGATATGCTTTCTGAAGGTCGAGGAGTGTTTGGCTCATACTGGTTCATCCCCTTCCCTCTTTCATGACTTTGCATTTGGAAATCCTTGGAAAAATAATTATTGGTTGCCTATGAGTATACTGGAAATGATTTTTTTGCACTTTTTAAAATCTGATAGGTGTTCTATTGTGTGTCTACTGGTTCTTCCCACTGTTAATTCTTTCTTTGTACTCCAATTCTTTCCAAGGTAATCACACACGTGACAAGATGCATCAGACCATCGATTAGTCCTTTCCTTCATTTTGTTGACTTCCCTTCTGGAATATGTCCCGTTCTGGACTTCGGCTGATTCGAACTGCCGCATGCAGGGCCACAGCACAGCTGGCATCCCGCAGCCTCTGCGCTCACCCCCCAACAAACAGCCTACTTCCGGGCAGTGTCTTGTCTTGTGTGGCTTACTCCTCCACTTTATTATTCAGGTGCTACTTGGGAAAATGAAAATGGAAGACACGTTTGAGACCTTGAATATCTGAAACATGACTTTTCACTCAGAACTTAGAAGCCATTGCGTCACTGTCTCATAGCTTCCCATATCGTCGAGAAAACTGACGCCATTCGTATTCCCACTCATCTTAGCTCTCCACACACCAACTCCCAGAAGTCTGAATCCTTCCCATTTTTCCCAATATTGTGAAATGATACAGTCCTTACTATGGGCCTTTTTACATTCATTGTGCTGGGAACTTGATGGACTCTTTCCAATTGAAGAAGAGAGTGCTTGAGTTCTTTGCTATTTGGGTTTCTTTGATAATGTGCTTCATCGCATTTCCTTACGTTTCCGTTAGTCAAACGTTGGGCCTTCTGAAGTCGTCTTCTGATTTCCTTTTGACATTTTTCCACTTTTTGCAGAAAAAAAAAAATTCCTTCAGGAGGCAGAGGTGAGAGGAATTCCTGAGCCCAGGGTTCAAGACCAACCAGAGAAACAGTGAGACCTCATCTGTATGGTGAATAACAAAAAATTAGCCAGGTGTGGTGGTGTGCCAGTGGTCCCAGCTATTGAAAGACTGAGGCAGAAAGATCGCCGGAGCCCAACAGGTCAACACTGGGGTGGCTGTGAGCGTGCCAGTGCACTCCAGCCTGGGTGGCAGAGTTGATTACCGCTCAAAAAAAAACCCAAATGTATTTCTTGTATTCTTTAAGCCTAAAACCTTTACACCAATTTTTACTATGACATATACTGACCAAGTCTCCTTCCCTATGACAGCACAGGAGCAACCTGGTTGCCCTTCTGGGCAGAAGGAATAGACTTCCACCTGGCCCCACTCCCGGTCCAGCGCCCACCCCACCATCCCAGGGGCAGTCTGGCTTCTGGAAACCAGTTCTCCTATGGAGACCAAGCCTGGAATGTCTTCTGTCGTGCTACTAAGTTTCTGCTCTTTTGTCCACATTCTCTCCTCTAAAAGTATTCAGACATTTTACCTTCTCCTCCATTCTTCATCCCTAGGGATTTCTACCTTTAAGACTCATTTCTGTGGCATTTGAAGACACGGCCATAACATTTAAGCATTTGTGCTATCCATATTGCATCAGAAGCCCATGCATCACCATGTGTAATAGAGGAAAATTGGAAAGTCTAGATATCTGCTAGGTTAACAGATATACAAGATATGGCTGCCATACTGAGTAGGCTCTTTCTACCCACTCAAGCATTTACGTAAAGAACTACAATTACTGTATTTAAAAAAGACAAATATTAACAATCACAGTTATTAGCTCAATTGTACTCAGCTAAAAACAGTACAAGGAGAGAATACTCCAAAATATTAAGTCAATTGAGCAAGTATGGCTTTTAATTCTAAGATTCCTGAATGAGCATATTTTTATGACTGAAATGGCTAAAAAAAAGCAAACAGCATGGCTGATGGAAAGCCCCAGATCTCAGTCTGATAATGCCAGTCATCCAAGTAAGGATCTCATTTTTTCAGTATCTGTAACCTGAAGGGCTCTTCAGACCAATTTTAGTACCACAGTGCAAGTCAGGCCCAAACTGTAAGAGTCAAGAATAGGGGAAAGGATAAGGAAGCCCTCTAGCAGGAAACGGTATTTTTCAAGTGTGCTGGGAAGTAGAATAGGGAGAAGAGGAGGAAAATATCTTAAAAGTTTAGGGGAAAGAGGTACTGCTAGATGAAGGGAGTAAACAGGAGTAAGGCGCCACCCTTGGGAAAGCGGAGACTTCTCCATGAGAAAGGCCCGTGAAGACAGCTGTGACTCGATGAAGCGAAAGATGGGCTGGAATAAAAAGGTGGAACGTCAACATTTCGGTCCAACTTTTAACAAACTGATCAATTTCAACAAATTACAAGGATCACCAGAGTATGTGGGCACTGGTCATTTCCAGCTGGACTCCTCCCCAGGATCCTCCCCGTGGCCCTACAGGGTCACCGACTCCCACCTCTAGTGCCCCTCTCCCCTTAGAATCTCTCTCCTGTGTTTGAATCTTCCTATCGTTGCCCTAACCAGGAACCCCTGTCCCCTCCTGCCAGCGCTCTCATTTTCCTTTTCTTTACTTCTGTTCCCAAGTAATGCAATTTCAGGGAGGAGGTGCCCCTCACACCAGTTATCTGCTCCCCAGACCGCCCAAGCTTCTCAAGGTTTCTGTGGCTACAACTCCATTGCCAAATGAAGATGAAAGCCAGGAACGGAAACAGGGAGTCAGGCAATACCAGGTGTAACTGATGGAACAGAAATGCACTAAGCTTGCAGTTACAAAGGAAGCCTCGAGCCTCGTAGAGGAATGAGTTGACTATTTCACGAACTGGAAGTAACCTGAAAACAAACATCAGAGTCATTTAAAACAAATTTAAGTTTGCCTAAGGAATAGTACCAGAGGTAGGAAGAGAATCATACATAGTTTTTTCACTATGAATGCTTTCCCACTACGGACTTTTGAAAAGGAATGAAACTTTATTTGGAAAAATAGTTTGGTTTTTTTTTGAGTTGGAGTCTCACTCTGTCACCCAGACTGGAGTGCAGTGGCCACTCCCGGCCACCGCAGCCTCGACCTGCTGGGCTCCGGCGATCCTTCCGCCTCAGCCTTCCAAGTAGCCAGAATTACAGGCATGCGCCACCACGCCCGGCTGATTTTTTGATTTACTGTAGAGATGAGGTCTTGCTGCCCAGGCGGGTCTCGAACCCGCGGGCTCAGGCAATCCACTCATCTCAGCCTCCCAAAGGCGCGGGATTACAGGCTGAGCCACCGAGCCCGGCTAAATAATTTTTTTTAATGAAGAAAATCAGTAATGCTAATAATTCACTTCGGCAATGATCCCGAATGTGTCATAATAAAAATTTCACCTTCTGATGTTCTCTCTGTGACATCTTAAGGTTAACCTTTTAACCTTTTAAATAATTTTCATGTTATTCACTGGAAAACGAATTCTCTGATGACTAAAATAAAACACGCACCAGCATTCACTGCCCTTTAAGTCTGTACAGTGCTATGGCATGAGAGCTCATGTGAATTCCATTTGTTAACCTTGGTTTTAAATGCTTAAATGACCCAACCCTGCTCCATGAAAAGAGCACTTACACTGCGATCCCAGGTCAGGAGCAACTCCATCTCCAGGCAAAGAAGCACATTAGGTCTGAGTCAGTTATTAATACCTTAAACACACAGTTTAAGTTATTCATTCGTTTTGCCATGTAAGCTACTGAGTACAAGCCCTGACAAATAAAGCCTCTTCTAATTTTCAGTATTAATGAAAGACGGGGCAAGCCACAGGTAATTCCCAATCATAAGACCTTTAACACAGACGTAACAAATGGCTACTTTGCCAAGTCAGAACAGCTTTCAGACTAGCAAGCCTGTTGGTTCTCGGTGAGAAGCAGTTATCTTCTTCAGCTATGATTTGGTGTCAAAATTATATTAGTCTATACAAATACATTAAGCACTTTTTTTTTTGAGTCAGAGTCTCACTCCATCGCCCAGGCAGGAGTGCAGTGCACACTCATGGCCACAGCAGCCTTGACCTGCTGGGCTCAGGAGAGACCCTTCCACCTTAGCCTTCCAAGTAGCTGGAACTACAGACACGTGCCACCATGCCTGGCTAATTTTTTGACTTATTGTAGAGACAAGGTCTCGCCAAGTTGCACAGGCTGGTCTCAAATCCCTGGGCTCAGGCAATCCTCTGGTCTCTACCTCCCAAAGTGCTGGGATTACAGGCGTGAGCCACCACACCTGGCCATTACCTTTTTTTTGAGTTGGAGTCTCATTCTGTTGCCCAGGCTGGAGGGCAGTGGCATGCTCACGGTCACCGTAGCCTCGACCTGCTGGGCTCAGGCAATCCTTTCACCTCAACCTTCCAAGTAGCTGGAACTACAGGCACCACCATGCCCGGCTAATTTTATTTATTGTAGAGATGAGGTCTCGCCAAGTTGCCCAGGCTGGTCTTGAACCTGTGGGCTCAGGCCCTCAAAGTGCTGGGATTACAGGCTTGAGTCACTGCACCCAGTACTGTTACTAACTTTAACAGAGTTGGTTAGTGTCAGCTAATTCCGAATTATTCTAAATTTTCAATTAGAATCTAAGCAAATAATGTTCTATTTTCAAGTAAATACGTTTAATTAAAACTAAACAATTTCAACCTGTTTTTAAATCCAAAGACTTGAAACAATTACTGCATTTATCATGTGTGCATTCATCACTGTGAAATTTGTCAAGGAGAAATATCTACCTAGTTTTTATTTAAAAGAATGTGAAGACTTAGCTGCTTGTCCAGAGATAAGTACCCAGAAATAAGATATAAAACATTTTCAGGGGAAAACATGCATGCATTTATTTTTAAGAATTCCCAATAAGGGGGGAAAATTCAACATCTTTAAAAATGTGTTTATTTTTTTTTAAAAAATCAGTTGTGTACAAAAGTGTTTCGTAGTTTTTAATTCTCAAGACAAATACCCAGCCCTCCACCCACAGCCCACCCAGCTTCAATGCTATTTCTGGTAACCCACCCATTTTCCCCTTACAGGAAGTTAACGGCTCAGAATAGACCCTCCTACAGAATTTATCATCACTAACAGATTGTTTAGAATAGAGATCTAGAGAAGCTAACAGGCAAGTTCCCTATGATGGCAGTAGACTTCCAGCAGACACCACAACAAAGCACCATCAATTGCTGAAAGCTAAAAAATAGATATTATTTTCAATAATATTTCATTTTCTATTGGAAAAGTTTTTAAATTACATTAAATAAGTCTCTTTCCCCCCAAAGAAACAGTCTAGCTTTTATTATGATGCCTGTAAAAAGCGGGTAACAGCAAGCAGACAAGGATCGTTAACAGCACAGTGTAATGAGCCCCATCCGCTCGCCCCTAGAACTGACTGACAAACTGTGCCGCACCTGATTACGTATAGCAGCATGGCTGAGAGAACCAGCACAAGGCGACACATTCACAACTTGCGTTTAGGTGATGGCCGCAGGGTTATGAGCGTTGATCTGTCCAGTAAAGCAGCGACAGAACAACTGGGGCGAGGATGCCTAGCACCCCCCTTCCCCAATGCCATGAGATTTCTCATCTATATTGCAACAGTGCAAATAGAGCAGGTGACATCATAAGTAGACACGGAAGGAAAGTCACACCTCGGGAGAAAGGCTGTTGGCCAGTAAATACTCCAAGGTGCCTTCTTCCCAGTGACAGCAACTGGCCGATGGTACGCATTTACTTGAAACTAGTACTAAAATAATGGAAATGCAAATTTTTGAATCAATGGTTTGTACCCTGGAATTGAAATTCCTTGAACTAGAAAAAGTGATTAATACAACATCATTTTGTAAAAGTCCATGAAATAAAGGTAACTGTAAACAGACGGCTTTCTTCTTCAAACCTAAACGTTGTTTCCATTTATGTACAAGAAGGTATGCCTGGCTCCAGCTCGTCCCTGCACCAATCCATCTTAAATCTTTAAAACAACAACAACAAAAATTCTTAATGTCCTATTTTGCTACATAGGATTGTAAAAATATTATCATACTCCTACTGCAGAGTTTTAAAAGCTCAAATCAGGCATAGACTTATAGCCAAGATCTGCTTTTCACATTGGTAAACTTATTAAGCAGCCAAAACAGTAATACAGCATGCTGCATTCTGTAGTGCATACATAAGCAAAATCCATTGAAATTGCCAATTCTCTCTTACAGATACTTCAAAAGAATTATTTTGCATAGTTATATGTGCCACCAACAATCACAAATGTGAAATACTTCCAAAAAAGAAAAAAAATTAGTCTTACTTCCATTTCATAGATTTACTCTCCTCAAAAGCAAGTTATTTAGACTGAAAACATTTACATATCCCTTGAACGTGTTACGTGTTAAAGTAAACCATAGTCACAATTCCAAACATTTCAGGGAGCCAACTCAGAGTATCTAATTTAGTACCAAGGTTCCTCAAATATTTATATACAAAGTGTGTACTTATTTGAACCACTAACTGCAATTCATTCACTCATTCAGTATACTGTACTGAAATCCTATTCAGCTAATTGTTTCTTCTTTTAAGTCAGGCACATACTAAAGAAACAGGCCTGATTGTAATAAAAGCCTACTGAAGTATCAGTAACTTCTAGCACATCTGCCTGCCCTAAACGAGACTTCACTGTATTGTTTTAAACATAATTTTTGAGTTTTTTAAATTGACAAATTGAGCAAACTCAAAAACATTAAGAATTAAAAAAATAATTTCCACCAGGGTACTTTTCCCCTAGGCCCGAACTTTTTAGCATCCTTTTTCTATACATACTTAAGACGGGGTGGGGGGGACAACCAGCTGCCTTACTAGTTCTATGTTTGGGAACTAAATCTACCTGCGAAAAAGTGAAAAACAGGAGAACAGAGGGAAATATACCAGAAAGGGAAAAAAGATGATCACATTAAATGTAAATGAGGTAAATAAACTTTTGTAATAAAGAATCTACTGTGGAGACTGTCGACACCAAACACTGTACTTTCCAGTTTCCTGGGCACCGGGAATGCTGACAAGTAGTAAAGGAGGAGACACCCCGTAGGGCTCATGCGCATCAAGCACAACACAGCTGCCTTCAAGAGCACAACATGTCATGCTTGACCTTTATAAGCTCTGAGCTCCCGCTTGCCTTTTTCTAACCACAGGACAATTATATATACCCTGATAATATAGGCAAAAAATAAACTGGGTCTATGTATATGATATTTTTAAAAATCCAAAGATTACCAATGTTATCAAACCACCATTCATTACAAAAAAATTAATTCTAACAATAGAGAAAAACTGTCTGCATTTTCACACAATCCCACCTTACTTCAAAATATAAAGAAAAGTACAAGGTTCAGATATTTAAAATAAATAAAGAAAAATCTTGTTTCCTTTGGCATCTTTAGAAAATAACTACAGCAATAAAAGAAAGTGACTGTATAAAGACAAGTTTAAGCAAACATATGGGGGAAAAAAACACAGCAACTTGTGTTTAGAATGCAATAATATCAACTACAAGAGTTTACTATTAGTTAGGAAAAAGCCTTAGGAATTTTTGGAAGAACCTTCACATCTTTAACATTACAATATATTTAATAACGGTTCTTTTATTGCTTCTAGTTTCAAGATTATTAAGAAGTCAAATGAAGTTATGCTGACTTTATGACTCAAAAATTATTTTCCAAACACTTAACAATTATAATTTAAGATAAATAACATTTAAAGAAAGCAAATCTTATATACTATGACTTTCAATATACAACCTTGCTTTAATTCAGTGTGATTCCATTACATTTGTGTTCTTTTGCATTGGTCCTGAAAATTTAAAAAGAATTGCATTTCTCTGTATAGAACTGCCTGCATCAATCCACTTCAATCTTCAGAAAGTGGTCACATTAGTGTTTGATCCTGTAAAACTAATAACCTTCAAACTTTTGAACTTAGAATGAAATGTAACTTTAATACAAATAGAAAGTCTGACTATGTACAAGAGAAGGTAAAGTTTTCAATTCTCATATTATCAGAAACATCATAAAGAAAGCTAGATTTATAACACACTTCTTCTATTCCTATGTGCATCTGAAGTATGTACAGTGAAACACCAACACAGCTTTCATGGGTCACTACAGGGGAGTGCAAGCAAGAGTGACTTTTCAAGTATCCAATAAAGCAATCTCTATCAAGCCCAAAGGGAGGCTAACAACTCCTGGAAACAGCTGACCGCATCCTTGCCAGTTCTCAAAGAAAAATTTCATCATGTTATAAATCAATGTCGAATTCACCAAAAAACTAACTTGGGTTTTTTCATTAAATCTGGGAATACTGTTTTTCCAAGAAGAATAAAATTGGCAGCTCCATCTTTACGTTATTACTCCCTTACATGGAAAACTTTAAGAGAATCTGAAGAACAGTGGCAAACATTCCAAACCTACGACCTAAAAATGGAGCGAGATACCATCCCTCAGTACATTTCCCCAGCAAATACAGAGAAATTCGCCAGTAGAGAATCAGCTGTGTGGTGAGGGGGAAACAGATACGGTGTCGGTCTATTGGCAGGACAGAAAGGCTCTGAATAGGTCACCATCTTCAATTCTGGATAAATCTCATATTTAAGAATTGTCAAGTGCTTAAAATGGTGGTCTCTTCAGCTACCCATCCTAGAAGTCAAGTACAAGCATGCAGGTTAAGTTCACAGGCACAGAGGATCCATGTGAGAAACAGTTAAGGTAGCTGTGATGCAACACCAACAATCTGAATGGCCCTGACACACGCAAAATATTATCTTAATTATTCAACAAAATCCTGAAGCAAACTCTTGCTAGTCTTGGTACACTGCTAAACACTAAAGTAGCATGTTTTTTCCATGGTTTTAGCTTAGCTCAAAGAATTTTTACACTATTAAGTAAGAAAAAAATTAAAGTATTTCCCCTTTTTAAATTTACACAGACGTTTAATTAGCTTTATTTACAGAGCAGGGATTTTTTTTCAGTCTCCAATGGTGCCTAGATAACATCATTAGGCAAGAATGCCAGTTTAAAAGAAATCTATGCAGAATCCTACAAATAACAGATGTCGGTGCTCCTCAGGAGAGGCGAGCGTGACCAGCGGCAGCTCTCGGCCTCAGTTACTCAGAAGCAGTTCTGTTGCAGTCTCTACATCCCATGATTTTGAAGACAAGGCCACTATTACTGCATTCTGGAGAGAAGAAAAAGGGATGAAAATCAAATCTCACAAAACAGTCAGAAATACTGAACCACTCACTGCTTTAGGTTGTGAAGCCACACCTTGTTTGTTTTCTGCAAGTTGCCTTGCATTTGCAGTGGGTAAATCAATGACCAGAATCAGCAAAAAGAAAAATAACTGCTTTTAATAACAGAAAATGTTTCCCCAAAATGTATTTTCATTTATTTTTCTCAATTGCTTTTATCAGCCAAGAATTTGCAGCAATAACTAAAAACCAATCAATATACTGAAATCACCATGCCTGTATGTACTTACCCTATCGAAGCCCATAGCACAGAGGTTTTCTATTTTTTTGGTGTACTCTGGACTAGAAACTGGTGCTCCAGCATACACGTGTGCCCAAAGTCGAGCTGTCTGTTTGAACATTTCAGGATTTTGTTTGTACTATATGGGGGGAAAAATTTATTGACATCACAATACAGCTGTAATAGTTGATGTGGAATCTCAGTTACTTGCCTAAGACCCTACTGTTTCCAAAGAAAACAAATTTACATTTAAAGTGCAATTCACTTTCCACAGCAGACAAGCTAGGACACTCAAGAAAAGACTTTTTCCCTGAAGTCTGATTTACAAGTCGTGTTGACAAAAGTAAAACAAAGACTATTAATCCACTTTAACCTCAGGGATTCAACAAATAAAATTAGCAAAAAACTAGTATTAAGTGAAACGAGTTATTAGAAATGTTTCAAACACTGTAGAGCAGCAAACATCATACAACCAAACACAGAATTACTCAACTATAAAAGTATGTGGACATTGTTAGCTAAATGTGACCAGCTTTTGTACTAGCCATAGCACAGGCCACAATACAGCTCGATCTCCTGGTTTGGTAGAGCTGTATTAGTGCACAGTGATTTAAGAAAAGTCCAAAGGCTGAGTGCAATGGTTCATGCCTATAATCCTAGTACTTTGGGAGGCCAATGTGAGAGGACTTCCTGAGCCCACGGGTTCAAGACCAGCCTGGGCAAGTTGGCGAGACCTCATCTCTACAATAAGTAAAAAAAATTAGCCAAGCATGGTGGCACATGCCTGTAGTTCCAGCTACATGGAAGGTTGAGGCAGAAGGATAATCTGAACCCAGCCTGTGCTCAGGGGTCCGAGACCAGCCTAAACAACATGGTGAGACCTCATCTCTACAATAAATCAAAAAATTAGCCAGGCATGTTGGTGTATGCCTGTAGTTCCAGCTACTTGGAAGGCTGAGGTGGAAGGATCACCTGAGCCCGGCAGGTCATGGCTGTGGTGGCCACGAGCGTGCCACTGCACTCCAGCATGGGTGACAGAGTGAGACTCCAACTCAAAAAGGAAAGAAATAAAAATTGAGTGAATTCACCAATCAGAGTATTTAAACATGGTAACACCAATGTGTAGGAAAAGTTTTGAAAAAATTTTATAAAAACATAATAATAAGCCGGGCTCGGTGGCTCAGCCTGTAAGCCTGCGCCTTGGGAGGCTGAGGTGAGTGGACTGCCTGAGCCCGTGGGTTCGAGACCCGCC